ACTTAATGCCTTACGGAAACTGCTTCGTATTTTCTTTCCTAAGTGGTTCTGAACGTTTCTGACATCATATTCATGTTCGCCAGAGTGAGTTCTATCTGACCATGTCTTCAGAATATGAAAACGTAGGCTGGCAGATATCGCTACTTATCGGGCGGTGTCCTTTCTGAAAATGATTGTTCAGTAGGTGCACAAATTACTTATATTCGTTTCATTGATTCTTAAGGTAAGAACGATAATAAATCCTTGAAAAAGTGGATCATTTTTCTACCGTTGAAAGTGTCAGTTCAGATTTTTTTGTTCGTTCTGACGCTGCCATCAAACGTTGAAGTGACTTTGGGAGAGAGAGATTCAATTACGTCGAGCAAAAACGAAATACTCCTTTCACATTTGCTCATGATGACTAATGAGAAATCCATAGCTGATATCTGTCTTAACAATACAACATCTGAGACAACTGATGTACTGAATATCACACATGATCTCGCAGGAAAGAATAAAGAGTATATCACGTTGATATGGTATGTGTAATACAGCAAGCTGCGTGGGTGCAGCTTTTTCTGTTGCACTTTATCACGCCAATTTTCTAAAGTTTTTCTGGTTTACTTTTCAGGTACGATGAGAATTTAGAGAATTTAAAGAATAACTACATTAGTTTTAGACAGAAGAGCTTACGTAAAATTTTTAAAGATGTGTTATTCTATTGGAAAAAATAGCTCCGATTGATTATATATTGGAAAATGGAGGAATGAAAAAATTGTTCTGATCATTTTCAGTGAATGTGTCCCGCATCTCTTGTATGCGACTTATGGTTTAGATCAAATTCATTCTATATTTCTTTCTTGTAGAGAAACGTCTCGATATGAAATGTTAAAAAACAGATATTGTAAAATTGTTGACATTTGTTTGGATAAATCATCCATATCGAGTAATGTCAAATTCTGCCATGAAACGTTGACGATGAGTCTACAGAGACATTTCAATTTTGCAACGAGGTTTTGTTCAGATTCATTTAGACTGTACAAAAATTCAGCCGAAAGTACAATACGTAATCAAAATCGGCGGCATTTCCATGGCTCCAATTACTAAAGACGCACCACTATGTATGCCATCAAAGCGTACAATGCAAGAAATGTTCTATCGATGTGGAATATGTATCAAGTTAATTTGTTTTTTAAATTTATAGTAGTGGAAGAAACCTAACGAAGTTAATTAATGAAGTAAGAATACAGAAAATCAATTCCAGATGATGACCGATCGAATATTAAAGTTATCCATAATAGTTATGAGAGCTTTGCCAGTATGCCGACATTTACGGTGTTCTCAGGGTTCAACTTAATGTTGAAGGCTGCCCCGGGAAAGAGACTTTTCAGTATCGAATAAATGTACAATGGCCAACGTCGGATCCAACTACGCCATCCAATTGTCGATACTTTTATTGTTTCGTTTGGAACGAACAGCGTCACTCTCATTTCATCATCAGGTATAGGTACATTATGTTGAGTACGAGCGAGTAACAAAATATCGAATGGTTTTATTCGACATTCGGCATAACCGTATAGTGCTGTGATGTGAAATATATTTTCACCATATAGTTTTACCACAAGTCGTTTACTATTTTCAATCGACGGTATTTTCGTATGCTCAATTTGAAGAAATATGATCACTTGCGGTATGGTATGCATGCGTGAAAGAAAATTTTCGAATACATGGGGTGTATGTTTTTTCGAACTTGTAAGAAAGCAGCCAACACATGGTGCAACCACGGCTGGGATGGCACTACTCGTATCCGCACTAGTACGGTCAAAATCGAATGGGATATTGGTTGACGATGCAAGTGGCACGTTTTGTACTAACAATATCCGACTTTGTACTTTCGGTAACTTTCCGTTATACTTTGTTTCATAACCGGAATCGGAATTTGAATCGGAGTCGGATTCAGGTACAAAATTAATTCTGTTTGCCGTGGCCAAAACAGGAAGGTCGGCAAGAGAATATTGAGAATTTTGTCGAGTATTATTATTCAATAAGCCGAGTCTTATCGATAGTGTGTGAAGACTTGTTGTATGAGCATGAACGTTGAGAAAACGACGTAAGTTCATTTGACCAAAAAACCAGCAATAGCCAAGAATAAAAAAGCAAGATGCTATGACAATGGCAACCCATCCACCATCTGGAACCTTGATCGCATTCGCCGTCCATGTGTAAGAATCGATAATGAGAAATATGCCAAACGGTAAAATGAGATACAGCGGTTTACGCCATGTGTAACGCATTACACACATATATAATACAGTCGTTATTATCATCACACTGCAAACCGTTACACCATAAGCATTTGTTATATTCGAACCTGTTTGAAATCCGACTGTAACGAGAATTGTGAGAACCATTAAAATATAGTTGATGGCTGGTACATAAATTTGACCGATAATTGTTTTCGATGTATGCACAATTTGAAATGGTACTGAACATTGCATTGCAACCGCTTGACTGATTAGTGAAAAACTGCCGGTGATAATTGCTTGTGATGCAATTATTGTTGCTAGTGTTGATAAAACCACCATTGGCCAATGAGCCCAGTCTGGCACGGAATGATAAAATGGATTACCAAACAACTTTGGTTCGGCAATTAACAATGCGCCTTGACCCAAATAATTGGCAAGCACAGCGGGAAATACGACACAGAACCAGGAAAAACGAATTGGCCATCGTCCAAAATGGCCTAAATCGGCGTACAAGGCTTCAAGTCCGGTAACAGCCAGGAAAACGCCACCAATTTGGTAGAAACCCCTTTTCTTCTCCCGTATCAGATAGTGTAATGCTTCCCATGGATTGAATGCTTTCAGAATACTAGGTTTAAATGTTATTCGCCAAATGCCGATTAAAAACAAGGATAGAAACCATAGAAACATGATCGGCCCAAAAGTGATACCAATTTTGGCCGTGCCCCATCGTTGTGCAACAAAGAGAAGGACAAGAATGATCACGGTGATACGTACAATCCAAACTTGTAAATGAGGGGATTCAACAGCTAATCCCTCAACAGCTGATAGAACCGAAACGGCTGGTGTTAATGCTCCATCGCCGAGTAATAAAGACGCAGCCACTAGTGCTAAAATGGTAATCCCTTTTTTTGCTCTCCGACTCAGTTTACTTTTTTCACCTGTCAACAAACCACACAGGGCAAACGTTCCTCCCTCCCCATAATTATCGGCCATCAAGATAAAGATGCCATATTTGATTGATACAACAACTATTAAATTCCAAATGATTAGACTGATGGCACCGATACACTGGGCTTCTGACGGTTTAAAATTGAATACTGTATTAACAACATACAATGGCGATGTGCCAATATCGCCGAAAATAATACCCAGCGAGCGAATGGTAAGATTTAGAAATAAGGGGAAATTCTTACACGGTGTAATTTCTGCAGTCACTGGCTGATAGTCTACTTGCGGTGTACTTGCCGAATGCGATCGATCTTGAGGTGTTGTTGCTTTTATTACTGACACAGCTGGTTTAATCCTGTCAGGGTTTGGGCGATTATCCGCCGTATCCACCAGTATATTTTCATTAACATAACTAATGGCTTTGTTGTCTAAATAGTCAGAGTAGAAAATTTCACTTTAAAGTCCTGTAACGACTGAAGGTTAAAAGGATACCGTCGACGACATTTGCATCAATCCACAAGCGCACACCGAAAGCCTGTTATACGAAAAATAAATTGTTCTTATGAAATCAGTTGCCATCTGATAGAGATTTAAATTTTAATTTAAGATTAAGTTTTTCTGTTGATGAGGTTTTAATAATCGAACCACAAGGGCTGAGCATACAACCACTAGATCGTAACATGATAAAAGAAATAGACTTCGTTTTTGATCTGTCAAATCGGTAGGCCACCTGGGATCACTACATCTGGATCGCTAGACTCGAAATTTTAGAATTTTTAAACACTGGGTCGGCCAGATACGGAGTGCTGTCATAATACGGATACAGTCTGTATTCGCTTATCGCCTGTACTGGTATCCGTATTTATATGTATCTGCATATTTATAAATGCTTGGGATCCTGGGATTTTACTCGATCCAGGAATATGCCTACTCTGCTACTAGTTGAACGAGTAAAATGCTTTCTCGTCATTCACTCTGATGCTTTGGCCCCCTCCCCTGCTCCAGACACACAGCTTACTGTTTAGTACTTAGTATATCCAAAATTCCACAATCCCAACATTCATATATAAGCGCATATATGGATATAGTTAGATTGATATGGGCATGAGCTTGGGTATATATAAATATCGATATGTATATCTACTTAATATGTATGCATATGTACGTTAGCTCAATACTTGTATTGTCCGCATTGCTGCATCAGGTCCTGTAGACTCAGTGGATACAGAATGTATCCGTATTAGGATACCCCTGAGATACGTCATCTCAAATCGTTTTTCATCTAAAAAGCGTTTTTCGCAAATCTTTTCTCGTTCGCTCATCTAAAATTAGGTTATTTCGAGCAACATGTGAAGCACTAGTGCTCGAACAAACTGCTCCTGAGGAGATATGGAAACGGTCAAACGGAATTTGATTTATTTGATTTGAACAAAGAAAAGATCAGCGATAAAGAAATACCATTACCGACCTACATTAAGAAGATGTCAGCTTTTTTATGAAATAGTAAAAAAGATGAGTGAAAAATAAGAAAAGTTTCGCCACATAACGATTAAAGAAATAACAGACTTTGACGATTCTCGAGACGCGAACGCCATGAAAAAGAGTGAGAAGCACTGCGCTGCTAGCTATCAAATCTTTTAGTACTCTGAATGTAGCCAGTCACTGCGTCCAGAGTACAAATTAAATCATCAATATCCAGGTCTAAATTCTCCAACAATAAGGTACCGACCGTTACAGTATTTAGAAACAATAATTTTTGAAATAGATTTTGTCTCTCATTATTACATAATTTACATTATAAAAAATAGTGTTTGATATTTTCGTTTCCATCTCCACAGCTACAAATAGGCGAATCTACACACTTACGACGAAACAAATAGTAATTTGGAGGAGGATAATTTACTTTCATTCACATAAAATTAAGTTCATCACGTCTTGTAGGGAATTTTAGGCGCTTGGGGAAAATATCTGTGACCAAATACTGTTTTTTCAATACTTCTCGTAATTTTGGTATTTTCATTGTCAATAGACTTTCATCATTTCGTATCAGACTATTCCACTCAGATGCACCAATTGAAAAGACATCTTTATCTGTACTTTTTATCTGCCACAATCATAATTCTATGATTACTCCGTAAGGATGATGTTGGTTTTGCTCACCCAAGGAGATAGTCCGTGACTTTGAAGGTTGCAGCAGTTTCAAGTATGGGGCGAAACACACTGTCACCCGAAGAATTTGCAAATTGTTCTTACCTGTCTTCATCATGAGTCAATTGTCGTAATAAATTCACAATATGCAGAATATATCTCATACACAGTGTGTAAGAGTCAAATATACATACGAACGAAACAGTTGGGCGTGCCTACTATGATCGATGCTACGCATCGGTGAACAAACATTTTTTCTGACTCTTATCGTAGTCATTATGACCTTCTTTCTTTGCTACAAAGTATTTTTTATGGGCGTCAACGGCATTATCTACGTTATTTTACTTAAGGACATTCTTTCTCCTTCACTGCCCCATAAAATGACATTATCCGATTTTCGTTTTATTTCATCCTCAAAATATCTTCAGGTGTCCTCCATCAAATATCATGGAAAAGAGAATTTTCAAAGTTATACGGACGTTACAAGCGTGATTTTCGAGATCCTACCTCAAAAAAACCGCTAATGTCCTTTTGAGTAGAAATTTGTCAATTGATCTTTATTTATTCTATAGTCTAATAGAGTTGTGGAAGCTCAAGAATGTTTTACGGAATCTTTTTAGGCACACAAAACAACATTTTCTTTTTTTCTACCCATATGTATTTTTCAAATTAAACGTATCAAGCATATACCAACAGGAAACTAATGTCTCCCTGAGGAGGAGGGGGATTAGTCTATTCTATTACTGGGGTATCCGACGAACAGAATAATCAACTCCTTTAACTAGCTTTTGTCAACTGGATGTGCAGTTGTGTGAAAATCGTCATTTGATAACGGAGTAGGACATCGGGATCGTATATATCACAATCCACGTATGGACGGCGTCCTGCATGGCTTCCATTTAAAATCATCTGATAATGGCATAGGTCCTACGAAATAAAAGATGCTAACGTATAGTCGACAATATTAGTAGGAACCTTTAAAAAAAAAGCGTTGAACCTTTGGACCGGTATATATAAATGGTAAGATTGGAAGAAGCACTTTTGTGAAAGAAAAACTTTTGATTGGAAGAAAAAGCACAAGAAAATGTTCTTCTATTACATGTACATATAATGTATAGTGTGTGCTCCTGAAATCCTAATAGCATTAGATATATATACGTATGGAAGAAAAGGCGCAATGTTGTTGTGTTAGTTATAACTTAAATTTTGTATTATTCCGAAAAATGCGTGCAGCTCCTCCAGCGCACTACTCGATATTCTAGTCACACGTAAATGTGAAATTCGTGATCAGCGTAGAAGATGCATGTATAATTTTATCAGAATCCGCTCGGCGGAAGCGAAGATAGGAAAACCTCCGCATCTTACGGATAATACGGGAAAAAGAAGTGCGATTGTAATAGAAGGCAGAACAGAGTATCTTTTCTTACTACCTCTATCATTTGAACCAGAAAAGTATGATTAGTTGACTAAGAAATGCTCCTTTCTTGCTTATCCACACTATTTCCACTGGGTAAGTGCTGATCTAGTTAAATTTTAACACCCTCATGTTCGTACTGTACTGATTTATGCTGTAGCACGATTGCGATATAAAATATGCTTCCTATGACTTGACTGTTTTGAACAGTTCCCAGGAGAAAAAAGACGGGCAATAAACTGCTCATTAACTGCCAGTTTACAGTCTGCCTAAAAACTGCCAGTTGACAACGTGTTAACTGTCTAAAAACCACCTAGAAACTGTCTAGTTTATTGG